CTGGCCGCTAATAATAAATGAGCCATCGGACGGCCCCAGTGTTGCCAACAAACTTTATAAAAACCCATTAGTTGGAGATCCGACAACAAAAAAAAAGTATAATATAAATCATTAATGACTACGTAATATATATTACAAACTTTATATGAAATACGTGATCGTTTTAAATGAGGAAGTAAATATTGTAAAATTGGACAATATTCAGTCATATTTAGTTCAATAATACAGATTTAACAGAAAGCAGTACATATATATAAAACCAAAAGGCTTATGAATCTGAACCACTTTCATCTAGAAACAATGCGAAAATCTGAAAACGCATGTAAACTTTTACAAAATTAAACACGTTTTCACGAAGCTTTTAAAAACATATTTTCAGTTTTCCACTTGGTAGAGTTGTTGAATTTCATTCAGTTGTTAAAATAATTCACGCCAAATCATGCAAAATTTTCATTGTATTTTTTTGTGTTACATATATTCAAACTTGCCAAATGAAATTCTAAACCATCAAAATTATGCCAACTAAAGAGATGTCCAATCCACCATTAATAGTAAATCGCGGTAAAACCCCTAAGGTGGGAACACTGGACGGCCCGCTCTGGTACGTTCGAAATTCGAACACCCGGCTCGGGAAATGCTCAAAACAGGGGGACCTTTTGTTATATCTGTGTTTATCTCTAGAGGACCTCTATGGAAGCATTAAGTATCTGTGGTCAGACAAAATAATTGGTGAACGGAACGCTCAATTTAAAAGCGAGAATATAAAAGAAAAGAAGTATCTCTTAAGTAGGCCTGCATACTACTTTAGCCCCATTAGGTAATACATTTCCATAACCGATTTTTTTAAAAACTGGAATTGCAATTAATTGTGTCCAGCCAGTTAAATGAACTGCATTCTCTCCTATGCGTTTACCATTCCGGAGAACCTACTCCACCCTTTAATAATATTAGTATATTATAAATCACATAATTTGTATTTCCGTCTGTTTTTTTCATTATACACCTAAAAGACGAATCGGATCTTAATGAAGACGTCAAGACGACGTCATTATGAAAAAAGACATTGACTAGCGTTTATCTAAAAAGCTGAGGAAGTCGCAGGAACAGGTGATTAAATTGATAGGTTACTTTGTGAGTTTCGAGTTCCGAGAAACTTCATGCCCGTGGAATAGTGATATTGGATAGCATTTTTAATTATTTAGGCTTTATTATAAAAAGCAAAAGAAAAAAAAAATCATCGTTCTAGCTTCAAAAATGACGAATTTCCATACAAACTTTCATCCCCTATTTTACTTAGGGTGAAATTTGTACTACCTTTGATGGTCATATTTGTTTAGAATTAATCTACAGCCTAAAAAATAATTTTCAAGCTTCTAGCATTAAAAATACTTCCGTATACGCTTTTGTGGTATTTTCCTAACAAAATTTATGTTGTATTAAAATGCAGTAATTGAGAAATATATTTAATATGTTACGAATATAGTGACATAGTTTCGTGTTTTTCTACAATATCAATAAACAGTTAGTGAATAATAAATATGACGTTAGTCTCTAAAAAGTATATATTATACCAAAGCTTTCATCTCCCCTTTTAATCCCTTACAACCCTTTTATGCAATAGAAAGTAGCCTATGTCCTTTCACAGGGTCTAAACTATCTGTGTACTAAATTTAATTAAAATCTTTTCAGTAGTGTGGTGTGAAAGCGCGACAGACAGAATTACTTTCGCATTTATAATATTAGTAAGGACATTCGTATAACTTTGAAACTTCGAACATCGTAAAAAACGCGATCTCGTCTTTGATTTAAAGTGAACGTCAAAAAGCAGCATTGCACTAAAAACTACACAAGGCACTAAACTAAACCAGTGTTGGTAGTCTAGTAATCACGTTTAAAATGAACGAGAGCGTGCATTGCGTCGCGTCGGGCCGACCAGCAAGTGAAATGTCTTTCGACTTTATGGGAGCCTAGTACTCTGGTGGAACAATCACCTGTTCTTTGATCCCTACTCTAGTAACTTCCTGAACTTGTTTGCGCATACAAAATATATTTTATGAATTGGGAAGCTGATAATTATATAACTGATAGTTTCTTATCTAGGAAAAATGTATTTGCAAGAGAGAGATGACAATACTATTTAATAGATAAATTGAACGCGTGTGTAAATTACGTTTTTTCTGTTAGACTAAAATGAAATCTCTATTAAAGTCGTGTTTGCTTGGTATTTTGGTCAGCGAAATCACCTGTTTCTCTTGAATGAGTGACGTTGATTTGTTTTGGCCACAAAAGCTGCAGAATAAATGGGTCATCATGATGAGTTTAAGTTAGTGACGCGTAGATGATTACTATTTATTATAAAGATTCCATCCTTCGACTTTATAAAAACTTTTCATAAAGGCTAGCCAATATAAGACATTTATGTACTTGAAAGTATTATTATGTATGTGTATATGTTTTAATGAATGATGAATAGAGAATGTCTTAACCGCCTACTTAACGGCGTAAGCTGACGGGCTGCACTAGTAGAGGACGTTGGAAAGAGAGTTAGTTACAGTTAGCGAGTTAGCTCATCGTGGCTTTTTCAGTAATTAAAGTCTGCGGTTTTCCATTGGGACCCATAGGGACCGCGTGGAGGTCAACCTGATAAACTAGGGTACATTGGTAACAGTGAAGCCATCTAGTATACAAACAATCCTCTTCTGTTATGTTATATTACAGCTAATAATATTACTTTTCTTGTTAAATATGTATGTATGTAATGTTTAGTTTTCAATAGGTTTTGTCCCTTACATTTTTATTAGATTTAATTCAAGGGACAATCTTACTGGTAAATACAAAGTTAAACAGTTTGGTTTTTATGCTACTCATTCAGGTTAATTTTCTGTAATCTATACATATCAATAAAATTGTAGTGTCTGTTTGTAATATTGAAATAACCGGTTTTTACTACATGCATATGAATATAAATATGATACATACACCAAAATAACATTATTTACAATTTTTGTCTGTCTGCCGGTCTGTTTGTTCCGGCTAATCTCTGAAATGGCTGGACCGATTTTGACGGGACGTTTATTGGCAGATAGAAAATGTAATAAGGAGTAACTTATTTTAGAAAAATTAAATTAAATTCGACACGGACAAAGTCGCGGGAACAGCTAGTTACCAAAATATAAAGATTAACATTAAAAGAACTATACACCTCCGTTATAAAGTTTTAGGTTTTAGCAATATTATAAAATCAGTTTGTGTGTGTGTGAATTGTTATGTAGATTCTCTTAGAATATATAACATTATATAATATTACTAACATTAAAATATACAAAATTTTGTGTGTTCAGTGGATTTCTGAGAATATTGTTATATACTTAATTCGGCATTAAAATATACATAGAACCCTATATTTTCAACCTTCTACTATCACAACCAATATTTTTTAATAGTGTATAAATTTATATGACAGGACAACGTTTATCTGGTGAGATAGTACTATATGTATAATTATAAAAAAATAAAATGAAATAGCAATACCAAACGTTTACGAGAACATTTGAAGATTTAAAGCTTAAAACGTAACCCAGGCCCTATGCATACTAAGCACCTATGGCTAACGTCCAGATCACATCGCCCATTAGTTTTACAAGATGATTTGTATTTTTTTAATTTGAGTTATTGTTCTGAAATTATATATTCGAAAAGAAGACGAACTCCTAAAAATAGGACTCGGTTCACAATTCCGTTGCCTTTTTTATGTTTAATATTTAAGGTCTGATATATATTTTTTTTTATTTTATGCGACATAACTTCCGTTTGGTCATAGTAGTTTTATTAAAATCAGTTTAGGCTTAGAATTTGACTTTTAAACCAAAATAACTGAAAATAGATGTCAATGAAATAGAAAACATAATGGTCATTAGAATAGTCCTAATGAACCGTTTACCTTCCGGATATATATACAAGTATGTACATCAATAATGATGTGTGTAGATCCGTAAAATGTCAGTAAGCCATGTTTATTGTTGATTGAATCTGCTTCTAATTGAAATTCTCTTTTCTTCTTCAAATTATTTTTAAAAATGCAGTAATTTTAGGAACTGACTGAAAGATATTTCTATAAAAGATTGACTTTTGTTAAACTGCAACATAATATAGGTTTAATTATTTAGTTAGTTTGAACTATAGGAACTAAATATATAAATATATTTACTTTTACTTTCTCTATCTATAACCATTCGAAGATAAGAAATTGCTTAGCGATAAAGTCTCCATTTGTATCAGTTTATGTATATTTATTTCATTGTTTTTTTTGTTATATAATTGGTAATAATAATAAGTACAAATAAAAATATGTAAATAAATAAAAAAATGTAAATACCTAAGCAATCCACTTATTATAATTTTCGTTGCTATGCAAATTTATTTTTATAATCATATATATTAAAAAATAGATCAGCGAGTTTGCTATAACAGGTTGTTAAGGTGCTACCCGTCCCGTAAAGTATCTACATATATCTCTGCATGTTTTAAAGATCTGTCTCTACTGATTTTTTTTCGGTCTAATGTCCGGTGAAGCTGTAAAGGCCAGCAGCTGTTAACCGCTGCTGGCCTTTACAGCTTCACCGGACGATAGGGGGCGTTTTCAAATGGCAATCCAAACCCGTGGAAGAACTTATAACGCGGCTGAATGCCAACTTCCGCCTGGCGGATACGACTTTAATCTGAGGACACCGTTTATATTATTTTTCAGATTAAAGTCATAACCGTCATGGCAGAGTTTAGCCTGATAAACCCCTCTCCTATTGAATAATTCTTTGACGCATAATAAACTTTTTGGTAGTAAACTTATGCTTTGGATGATTTTAGGTATTCTTCTGAAATAAACAGTTTTCAAAACAAACAAAAAAGAGCAATATAAAAACAGCAATTAATCGAAACAAGTTTTGATTATTTAAAAATAATTCACAGCTTTTAAAAATAGTTATTTATATTAAATATCTTACCTTCAGAGGAGGAGTTGGTATGTACAAAGGTGGGTCGCCCTGCGATCCAGTGTAAATATCCTGACCATCGGGGCTTTTTGTACAGCCATCTGCATCCATAACGCTGTATCTGCAGACTATGCCATCAGCAGGTTTCGCTTCGTATCCAGGGGGCTTTCCAATATGAAATCCTTTAGCCTTTACCCAGAAGCGGAATTTAGAACTATCAGAACTGTTGCATTCTTCGCCGCGAAGTGTACGCAAGATCCTGGCGTACTTCTTTAGTGTAATAGTCTTTGTTTTCGCCAAATCTCCATATGTCTGTATCACCCAAGGCTGATAAGTGGAAAATAAGTCAAGTTTTGGATCTCCAGTCTGGATTTTAGGTCTCTTATTATTATTTTGTTCATTTTTCTTGTCATTCTTAGAACTGCTCGCCGTTGACTTTCGTTTTGATGGTTTTTTTGGCGTCTTCTCTGGTATAGCTTCCTGTGTTAACTTCTTTCGAAGTCCACGATCAGTTATCATTGCAGCAGCCATTTTGTATTTCAACACTGCACTGATATTTTTTTCTTAAAAACTGTCACGTTCCATTATAAAATTTTATAATTAGTTCTCGAAACTGAGATAAATCATTTTGTCATTATTTACCCGGTACTCTTTTGTCTTTGACTAGGAACGCTTTTGAGCGTTACGGTCGAAGGAATTGTTCAGCGATTGTTTTCAAGAAAAGTTACGAAAATGAAAAGTTGGGAGTCTCGCGTGCGTACAACTTTGTGAACGCGAACTTTCGACTGCGAAGTTCGCACCGTCCTAAAGGACTTTCTACGAGGGAAACTTTTCCCGGCGACGACGACGGCGGCGGGGAGTGTATCTACAACCTGGATGGAGAATTGTCGTTTTGTTGTATTATTACTGATTATATTATCACTTTTCGGGTGACTGATTACCTAAATATATTGTATTTTTATACAATATTTATTTCAACTGGAAATTTATATATATGTACAAATATAAAATATCATATATATAAATCATAGGATTTATTAGGAAGATTGAGTGTGATGTGTAAAATCTCTGAATTATTTAAAATTGCAATTGACTAAAAGAGGCTTCAAAGGATTCTAATAAATTTCCGGCGCTTGACGCTAACAGGTGTCAGATGCAAACTTGAAAAAAGTTTGAAAACAAAAGAAGATGGTGTAGAAAAAAATATTTTTGTGGACGATCAAAAACAAAAAGTACCAGGCATGAAGAGGTCAGCGACAGGTAAATCGAAACTAGAAAGATCCCGTACGTAGTTCAAATAGTCCCAGAATGGCGCGATAGAAACAAAAAACGCTTTACGACCGCTCGCGTAGGGCGCGCGCGGTATACTGAAGGTGTTTGTTTCGTTCGGGCCGTTTGGTCCGTCTGTGTGGGACGGACGCGGCGGGCTGCGGGCTGCGGGCTGCGGGCTGGCGACGAGCGGCACGTGCGGCGGGACGGGCCCAAACGCTAATTGCCCGCAAAACAATCGGGCCGATCGTCGGCCGCAGGGGCACCGCGATAATGCTCGCACTTCGCCGTCCTTCTAGATAACGCCATGCGCCACTGCGGTCGTTCTATTATTACGTATTCGCCAAGTCGACAGTGTCCGTATCTCTTTAATTACAGAGAAAAGTAACTAAAGTGGAGGCATATCTGACATTTACTTGCTTATTGCATAGTACCTATAAAACAGTCGCAGCCGCTGTCTGTAGCCCTACGTATGTTTAAATTTTTAAAACTACACAACAGATTTAAAAGCGTTTTTCATTTAAATAGATAGAGTGATTCTAGAGGAAGGTTTATACAATACATATATGCATACATGTATTATATATAAGTATAAACTTTAGCTACTCCCCTCGGCTTCGCACGGGTGTACATGTAAGCCGGGGCGAATAGCTAGTTAAAATATATAATAATACACCCACCTACCACGTACTAAAAATAAGAAATCACTGTAGTATGTATTACAAAAAAATATGTATTTTTACTGCGAATTCAAAAAGCCGAAAATAAATATTATGATATTTTTTAGACCCCAGAACAGAGATCTATTTCAGATATACAATACTTGTTGTACATTTTCTGTATTGAAAATATTTGTCATGTTTATAACAATTATATATACAGTGGTGGTCATATAATTAGAAACACTTCTTAAGAATAAAGAAAATATAACTTAAACGTACAAATTATCGGAAAAAAAATATATATTCAATAATTAATAATCATGTAATAATATAGCCACTCGCATTAAAAACTCATTAAGTAGATATAATATAAAACATATTTTACTTTCAATTACAAAATCAGTCTTACACATGTAGAAGTTTATTTTCTGTTACTTGCCGCTTGGACACCTAATTAGAAACATTTTAAAAAAGCATCAATATATCGTTCTTTGTTTGGAATCGGAGAATAACATTTCTTTCTTGCCTTTTTCTATTTTTTTGTTTATTTTGGCGGCAATTTAAAATTGAATCTGAATTATATTTTGTTCTAAATGGGCAAAAATAAACGTTGTGACGCGTCAACTATGCAAAAAAAATTTAAATTTAAAAGTAGATCATAAATGGGCGTACAGAAGAATAGCTGAGCATTTAAATTGTTCTATTAAGAAAGTTTTTAATGCAATTGATTATTATAAAGCACATGGCTATCATGATACTATTGAAAATGTTCTTGAGAATGTGAGAGGATCAGCCAAAAAAATCCTCTCCCAGAGAAGCCATGCTAATCGTCCGTGTTACTTAAAAAGATCGATTTAAAGACTCCAACCAGATTAAAAATGAAGTTTTTTTGCCTGATGACCCGAGAAATATCTCGTCAAGACTGATACACCGAAGATTAGTAGAAGCTACACTGTTTGAAAGAACCTGTAAACAATGCTTTTAATTATAAATACACAAGGAGTATAGTCAAGCACGGTGACAGTAATATTAAAGTTTGAGGATGTTTTTCCGAATATGGAGTTGGACTCGTTCGGAAGATTGAAGATATAATAATCTATGTCAACACAAAAATATGTTAAAGTACACAATGATTCTCTACTCGGACGATCATTTGCCTGTAACATAGATCTTTCAGCATGAGAATGATCCTAAACACACGGCTAATAGCGTCAAATGTTTCCTTAGCGCAGCGTATATCCGTTTTAGACTGGCCAGCAAATGGTAAGGATTTAAACCAGATAAAAAATCTTTGATATATTGTTTAAAAGAAAGTCTTAAACTAACGTAACACCAGTCAAAATGAACTACATGAAGCATTTGTTGATGCATGGAATTCAATCCCCCTATAAAAATGTATGAAATTGATTGTATCAATGCCATGTCGTTGCAGTGCTGTTATTGAAAATAAGGAATACGCCACTAAATATTAATTGTAAGTATTGGTAGGCTGTGGGTAGTAGCTATTTCGTAAAAAACAATACTAACTACTAATTCTTAAAAAAAATAGTTTTTTATACTTTTTTGTTGTTGTTTCTAATTACTTGACCACTATTGCTCGTACCTAAAAACTGATTTAAATGTTTGTTCGTAATTTAAAATTGAAACTGCTCTAGTGTAGTGGGATTTATATTGTTTTTCTAATAAATGATGAATCGTTGAACATATTGTTGTCCTATTTATTGTTTTATTTCAAAATAAAAATGATTGCGGTGAAGTATCTTACATAATGTTAAGAACCGTTGGTAGTGTTTCTAATTATGCGTCCACCACTGTATATATATATATATATTTCGCTTTAAAACTTCATTAGCGAGATTTTAACACTTGTATTGTAGCGTGGTGGTTATCCTCATCACTGTAGCGTTATATATGTTGTGATGAGGTGGCACTACATAATATATTATTTATTGTAGTATGTAGGTAGTGAGTATACCGGTAAAATGATTGTACTATTTATTAGACATTATTAAGTTTATTTGTAGTGTGCTATATGGCTTAATAATAACACGTACAGTCGACACGGATTGGTGACGTAGACTGATTATACACTGAATTTAAATTTATGTTAGTGGAGACGTAAACTATAGAAGAGTCTCAAGTGTCGAAAGAAATGTTATAAGTGTAGGCACAATATCATTTAATTTCAAGTACTTTAGTATAAATTCCTATCTGTATTCGCGACTTCGTACGCGTGGAATTTAACTATATTTTTCTAAAATGAAAGTAGCCTAAGTTACTCCTTATTACATCAGCTACCTGCCAAAAAAGTCCCGTCAAAATCAGTCCAGCCCTTTCAGAGATTAGCCGGAACAACGAGACAAAAATTGTAAAAAATGTTATTTTGGTGCATATTCATATGCATATAGTAAAAATGGTTATTTCAATATTACAAATAGCTATTATATGTCTATTTATATATATATAGATGTATAGATAATCACATCAACACCGTTATATAACTTCGTTAGATAATGATGTAATATTTTGACAGTCGATTGAACTTTTAAAATCACTGTAGATTAAAGAAACCTACAACAAAATGTCTGATAACATTTGAAGTTGCATATACATACTTTTGAAAATAATGGTGCTACAGGATTCTCAACTGCATTGCGTTGATCTTTTAGATTCAATATATGTTTGCTATTGAACTTCAGACATTTCTTTCCTTCATGAGCACGATTGAACACGAATGACGATGCGCACGCGACGACGCTGTTGCGCGAAATGTGCGCATGTTACTAGGCGAGCATACGATACAGAAGACAACGAAGCAACGTGCGCACGCGCATCTGTACAAGCTCGCAAGCGATGCGACCAGACTTATTTACGGCTGTGGTACGAGTGAGCGGGACCAACGACGTTGATTTTGTGAGTACCGTATGTACAAATTACAAATGTATTCCTTTGCATTAAAGTTTATTTTAGTAAATAATAATTTAGTGCAACTAAACCATTGTTTTCTTATTTTTATGTTATCCTAGGAAGTTGCTGAACATATTTTGTGCTATGTGGTTCCACGATTTGAGTTTAATTTGTTAATAAATCGACATTTGTCACATATCATTCATTCTTCCTTTATAAAAAACATGCGACAAAACAAACCTCATTATATATTATATTCTCACCAACTATAAATAAGATTTCATTTACAAACTCGTTTTAATACGATCCTATATTTTTAAAGAAAATTAACTTTTATTTGATCTTTTACTCGTACGTAAGTTATGTTGTTTATTGTATTGTATTGTACTGTACAAACAAAATAGGATAAAAATTAAGCCAGTAAGTTACAAAATTTGCATAGATATTGTTCTTAATTTATAGTGTGATTATCGTGAACAAGTCTAGATTAACTAGCGACTTGTATTTGTTTAAAAACAAACGACAATATTGTAATAATTACTACCTACCAAATTATATTTAAAAATCATCAAAAATCATTAAAATGCACAATGAGCGATGCCATGAATTTATCCAAAAATACAATAAAATTGGTAATCAATTTTATATACTGTATTTTTTAAATCCGGGGTTCAAGAAATTAATTTATTTGTCGTTATTGCTTCACTATGTAGAATATTTACTAGGGTATAAGAAGTTAGTAGTAGCCAAGACAAAGTATTCAGTGTTTCTCTAAACACTAACTAAATAGTCTAAAATAGTTTACTTTGATAAAAGGAAACTAAAGTTAGGTAGGGTTAGTTTCTGAATAAGTAAGTATTTAAGAAATAGGGGATAATATACATAATATTTAACATTTTGTTAATAAATTATTTTATATTAAGCAACAGTCTGTTCATATAACAAGCACTTTTTAACAATTATATATACCGTATTATTGTTTCCACAGATTATTCGGAAAGCAAATTCATCACAAGAAAAATGAGCAAGAAACTTGCGTGTTGCTCTATTAAATAAGTGTTTTGCACAGCATTACATATTTAAGATTTAGTTTTTTTTTCGGACTACTCTAATGCTGTTGGCCACAGCTGGCATTTACAGCTTTACCGGACGATAGGGGGCGAGTGCAGCTGGCACACCAACCCGCGGAAGGACTTATGGAGCGGCAGAAGGCCAACTCTCGCCTGACGGATACGACTTTAATCAGAGGGCACCACTAGGGGTTCGTACCTCAGCTCAGACCGTCGTAATATCGATCCCCATTTGAATTGGACGGGGGATCGATCGGAGGATTCGGATTATTCCTACAAACATTATTTTTAAGACACAGCATAAAGAGGCACACAGCATCTCTGCCTCATAGAGTCTGGACGGATTTCAATAAAATGTAGTACGCATATTGAAATCCGCCATTTTGGAGTTCAGGTGAAATTAGTGCTTATCATTACATAGTATAAAACAAAGACACTG